TTTTATTTAGTAGCGAGTTCTTGTATCGAATATCAGATCAATTAAACTTACTGCGCATATGCTCCATAAGGTACTGCGCCAAAAACTTTATCATTGAGGAAGAATCGATTTACACTGTTTCCCTTAGCTACAACGACACCCTGATATATAATAATATACCGTTAAGTTGCCATTTGGTAAATGACGTTAACATGATGTAAGCAAAAAAATACAAACTTACAGAAAAATCCCTGCCCAAAACATGGGGAAACGTCGGTTTCTCCAAAACCTGCATAAACCCTTTTCTCACTTTCCAATCAATCGGATTAATCGACGAATTCACCACTTTGACAATAACGTCATGTGGCCCAACTATTTCCGGTGTGGCTATTTCACTCCAAGTGAATACTGACGTCTCGCCAAACGAATTTATTTGCACTGCAAACGATTTCTCTGGGTGTGGAAGTTGTCGTTTTTTTGGATCGGTTGATGTTGTAGTACTGCCTCCCGCTGCTGCTGCTCGAGAAGTTGTGCCGCTGGAGACGGATAACCCTTCAAGAGCAGCTTTTTGAATCAATTTATAAATAAAAATTAAATTTTAAATTTTTTGAAATCCAACATTCTTATTTTGTGAAAACATACATGTGGTCTGCAAAACCTCTATTTGAGTCTCTTCTGTAGCAGTTTCCTTAATTTTGTTATCTTGTGAACTTTCGGATTCAACAACATCTGCCATTTTTTTCTAGATTCTTTTATTATTGTTATATATAAATTCTTCGTCAAGTAAAACAGCTTTCGTTTCTATTTTACAAAAGGAAGGGAGAAGTAAAAAAGAAAATTGTGGATTTAATAGGTTGATTGATGATGAAAAAGATGATAGATGATAATTTTAACTAATTATTATCGCTACATGTATTACGTCAATATACAGATCACCATACAAAACAGTTGAGATATTCCTTATGACTACGCCAAAAAAGACGCGCCAAACCAGTTTTGACACTTGATTATCACGCCATGGAAAGAAGAACGAGAAGAACGGCGGCGTTTTTCTTCCTTCTTTTGCTCATTCGAAGTTTTTTCGTTATTTTAGCGTTAATGTTAAATAGATATTTAAACTGTATACACATTGGGTTGATTAATGAAATACGTACATGTACTTCGCCACAATAGGGTTCGAGGGTTTCGTTTGATACGTGTATAATCAATGAAATCTAAGGCAAAATTATAAACATTGTCTTATTTGGAAGGTCTAGAATATTCTATCATATGAAACATTTATACGTATTTAGAATATTGGCTTTTTCGTAATTAAATACTTGGGCGAAAATGATAATGCAATACACTATTTATCATTTTCCCAATACTGATATACTATTTTATTCTTATTTAGGTTAGTTAAATAAAATACATAACGATAACGATAACATATTAAAACGATTCTATATTCAATAATATCGATATTGTTAAAAGTTGAGGCTTAAATTATTGTATTTCATATTTGAATATACGTATATTGATATGCTTCAAACTAAAGTATTTAGTTGATTCAGTACGTATCGGTATCGGTATGTACCTGAAACCATATACGTATATAATTATGTGTGTTCAATCTCTAAATTTTAAAATGCAATTTTTAATACAATCATATTCCTTTGTAAAAATATGATTGATAAAAAAAATCAGGATTAATTTGTTTTAATTCAAAGGATTTTAATATTTCGATCTTTAAATTGTTGTTGTTACTCATTACATGTATATAGCAATAAATTATAACCATTAAATTAAAATTCACTGTTCGGACTATAATTTATACACATGACTACGCAAGACATCGTCATCATAAAAATAAAATGTAAAACAATACATGTGGTCTTAGTATGATTTACGGAAGCTTCTTTTAACACGACAATAATAATATCAAAAGAGCATTATCCTAATAAATTGAATTCATACCGATACGAACTCGCACAATTGTGGATCTCTGTCCACGAAGCAAAATGATGATTCTATTCACATTCATTAAAAATCAGTTGCTGCTATCGCTATAGTTGACTTGAATTATCGTAAAGACTATCTCCCTTGTAAAAAATTTAATATTTTTTCTGCAAACTGAATAATTCAAGATTCACGGTGAAATTTCTTCGAAATTTATATTGCTAAACTAATAGCTTGAGGTTAAATTAAGTCTAAATTTTTTATAAGGGGATACATAGTTATTCACCATGATATACGTAATTTAGACTAGTGAAAAAAGTTAAAATTGGTGTGTGTTATTACCAGTATTATCTAAGAAATAAATACATGTACCGGAACAAAATAAATATGTCCAGTATCCCCAAAAAGTAACGCCCGATTCAAAATTAAACATAAAAATTTTAACACTTTTCCGAATTATTTTATTTTCAACAATTTATACATCAAATAAAAACTTTTATTTAATTAATATTTAATTGACCCTCCATTTGACTCAAATACTGCTTCAATTCTTCTTGGCA